CTTTAGCCTAGCACCAACCAACAGTCCTTAACATCACCCACCCAATGCTGTTAGCAAATGTGAACAATAGTTAGCAGGCATCAGCCATCAGCGACGATTAATCTCTTACGATATCAGCACTAAGATACCGGGTCTCTGCTCCATACGATAACGCGCATTATCGCAGCGTTACACCCTACTCTTGAGTGAGAGGCCGATATGCTGCCATCTCCATATATGTTTGGTTTTCTGAAAAGCTACACCGGCTTTGCTCTTACGTTAAACAACCTCCTTAACATGCTGACTGCCAGAGGTGAGACAACCGCTAAGGTAGGTGAACTGACCACATCCATTGGTTGCTGACTGCATGAACCAGTGAAGTCACGACCGGGTTCTGAAACGGTTCCCTGAGCTTTGAAGGCACAACGCACATCCCAAAACGCGCATCGCTGTACGTTAACCTGTTCAGTACTGCTTGTATTGCGGCTGGGTCCTACCAAAGTCGTCGGCGATGCGATGAGGTAGCTCCTTTTCATTAGTCAGCTGGTGACTGATAAGGCATCTATCTTGTAATCCAGAGGTCACGAGTTTGAATCTGCGTAGGTGCTAGCGACTTCGCGGTATACCCATCCCATGTGCAACTGGCGGTGTTAGTGCAACAACAATGCGTGGGCACACCTTACCGGCGTAGTGCTGATGCCTTATTTTCCAGTAGTTTCCGGTCGAAACGCAGCTCCCTTGGTTGACCATGCTGTCTGCTTGTTCAGATTTTGTTTTTTCAAGTTCGACCGCAAGAACAGGTTATCACTAGTCCTTGGGTAGCAATTTTAGCATCGAGAAGAGAAAGAATATTCTGTACCTAGGTTCTTTATCACCAAACTATTTAAAATTAGTTGCATCCTCTGGAGATTTTCACTGAGCAAGCCGATGTCTTCATTTAAGTCGCTCATCCTATCATCTGGAGAAAGTGTCTACAATTTTGAAAACCCTTCAGTGCTCTTAGTTGATCATTTCAAATCACCAAGTTGGAGGAGACCGTGGACATGACCTCTCCTTTACTACGCAGCTAGTTGCAGTAAGGATTGTAGGGAGCTTACCACATACTGGTGTTACCTGAAACATGAAGGTATAGGTAGAAGGTAGTATGTTTTCCAGCAACTCTGTTAGTAGACTGTGCCGTGAAAAAGGCCGATCCACTGAGTCGTTACTTACCTGGAAGGGCAACGCTTGTAGATCTTCGCTAGTGGTAATGATGTTTTAACGGTTATCAGCACATGATATTTGATCTACACTTTGATCGGGGTGAGAGTCGGCTTATTATCCTCAATGGTGCAATTCAAACGTCACTAAAAGTCTGGTGCAGACATTCAAGTCAAGTTAAGTAACGTCAGTATAAGTTTTATGTACCTAAATGGGTGCATTTTTAGCATTTTACATTATCAATTGTAAATTTATCAATGGCTTACCGAATGGGTAGAAAAGGAGGATGAAATGAAATGAAAATGAAATGTGTCAGCTTATACGCCGTAACGGCGCTTCGCTGCCGCGCGACCACCACCAGTCGCGCGCGGGCTGAGGATACAGTGTCATCGATCGATCAAACAACGATTCCAAAAAGCTAAACTAACTCTTCGGGATTTGTACCCATTCAAAACGGAAAAAGTTTCGTAAAATTCTTTCTTCAGAATTCATCTCAGTTGACATTGAACCTAGTGTCCACAGACCCCGAACGGGGCTCGTGCGCGATATCTCGCGTTTATATTCAAAATTGGATGGGGTTGAGGGTCCCAGTGACCTTGCAGTTTGACTGAACCAAATATCTGTCAGCCTACTCTGGCAAAACTGAGATAGATGCAGTAGATAATGTAGGCTATGATGTTTGGCGAAAAAGGCAATGACCGATTTAAAGGCCCCGCAGCTGCACAACTTGAAAGCGACAGGTCTGCTTCCATTTTGATGGCCGCATGGAATCGCAGTACCTGCTGTGTCAAGCGTTGCTGTGGAGTTCTGGTTTAGTGGCCAAACCGAAAGCCATCAATCACTCTGTTGGGCTCCCCTTTTTGCTTAAGCTCTCTACCTGTCGAGTCCAAATCAGGACCGAACCTGTCGGTTATAGAGTGTAGTAGTGGGAGAAAGCTGCTCCGAAACTCTCCACTTCGCGTGCGGTCCCAGGTTTGTTTCAAAGCAAACTGTAGCCCCAATCGAAATTGCGTGTCGCAATCCAGACACACGGCGGATACTCCAAGACCCAATAATGAAGTCCCAGTACCACTTATAAAACTCGGAAGCTAGCTAACGCTTCAAGCTGACGGAGCCACTTTTCACTCCAATTTTCGGAAAACAGATACCAGCTTTTTGATGAGCATTATCTGACCATGTTTGAACATCGGGATATTCCAGCTAAGCTTCAACTGCTGAAACTGAAGGCAAACTACCCTTTCGTTAGACGCTCGTGATAGAACACCCAAAACATGCAGCTGACATCCCCGGCACACGAGCTTACCGTGATGGCTAATTAGACTGAAGGTGAGAATGCTGCGTCCAACAGCCTCTTCGTCTCTGCAAGTTAGTGTTTGTTGACCCATGTGACAAGCAGCTAGCCCCGTTGACACCAAGCGTCCAATGTTTGATGTTCTGTGTGAGCTGGACCAGCTTCTGAACTTTCCCGGAGACCATAGCAGTCGCTATTTACGAAAGGTGTTGATGTCAAGCTTTGCAATCACTGCGCCATCTGTTTTGCACTGCTGGTTGAGATATCGACGTACTTCACTTTTATCTGACTACATTGTACTAAGGCATTTCTATGGAACGAGCGGACATTTTTACCTGCCGCCATTTGTTGCGGTCTACCTCTATCTGGACGATTCCGAATGACTTCTGATTTCGGCTGTTGTTCAGAGCTAGCAGAGAACCAATTCAGTTCAACCGGAATCATCCAGAAAAAGGTTGATCATAACATTACCGTTTAAAGACTGACAGTTGAAATCGCAAATTTGTAAGCTAAGAGGGAACTGTATTTTCCGCTAGGAACTCTATTGTCATTTAACTTTTTGGAGTGGGTCCTAGGCTACTACAGACGGTAGCGAACATGTATATTTTGGATAGATCGAGTGATCAGTCACTTTGTATCAATCTTACGGTGCTTTAGCTTCCAACTCCCCCGGGGAGGGGGGCGCACGTAACTATTCACACAGACAAAATAAGTGGGCCAAAATGATCTGCAACCCGTATACTGCCCTGTAACCTAAAGCTGGTTATAATGCGGCTAGTTTGAGCTTATAGTTGTGTTGTCAAAAGAGAACCACTAGTGGCAAAGTTTCCCCGTGTTCTTGAAAGTAACATTTGAAAGGGAGAACGCTGCGTGCATGATGATCACTGACGTGACAATCATAAGGTGACAGGCACCCAACCTATGCGCTGCGCATCAAGAGGCTTTGCAGTCCCATCTTTAGAAGCAACCTACAGGATTCTGCATCCTCGTGCTGCAGTTTGTACCTTATTTGTTTATTTATTTCGATGGCGGTTTATCAGCTTGATCAACGGTAAAATGTACGGCGTTGCAACTCAGTAAGCATTACTTCAACACCCGGATCTCCACCTTTGCTTGTTAGAGATAGTTTGCTTCTGGTTATCTGTTCTTTCTGTTGTTTTCGATGTGTCGGTCATGTCTGATTTGAAAACAGAATGAACAAGGTTTTAAATATTCTTGGGGTAGATCGAGAACTCAAGATTTCAGCTCCCATATTTTCAAAAATTTCCGAAATCAGGAGTGCGTAATACTTATATCTGCCGGGTAACGCTAGGGGATTGACCCCCTGGTGCAGTACTGGGTATTTTTACACTCCAGCCACCTTATTTGTCCGGGTAGCGTTCTCTTGTCGTCCGACAGTAGTCAAAAGGATTGCGCGCTTGACTTGTAATCCGGAAATCACCTATTCGAATTCGCGTAGATGCGGGCGATCTCGCGGCACGTCCAGCTTACGCGCGACCAGTAGTGGTGGTCGTGTGGCATCGAAGTGTCAGCACGACATGCTGCCGTAATGCTAATGCCTCATGGTTGCTCAGTGATATCTGCTGGCTTTGCTTTGATGCGTATACTATATTGAATTCGAACGGTGGGCAGGTGGTTTCATTGTCGACTGGTGATCGGAGGGATGAGATGTCTGCTTTGAACCCAAACTTCACTGGTGCAGGCGACCTCTTAGTATCCCTAACCCGCGCGCGACTGGCGACGCTCGCGTGGCAGCTAAGCGTCGATGCGACGCGCTGATGTGATGCAGACTATGTTGACACTAACAAAGTTCCTGCATTCCGTCTTCTGCATTTTACCTTTTAGCGAATCTGCCCGATTATCTTCACCCTTCCTTATTTTGCCAACTCCTCTTTCCTTGTCTTTTGCACTTATGTTTTCTCATGGCTGTTGCTGCTACTGTACTCATGGCCATTACCTTCATTACATTGATCAGTATACAGTTGTTCTGCCGAACTAAGTCTAGGTAGATTACCCCTAACCCATCTAGCTTTATTTCTCCCATTGTTTAGCTGCCATAGATCTATGCATTCGATAACTGAATCTGCAAGCATCAACTTAGGCTGATGCACTAGTCAAGGTTGATTGATGTAGTTTCTGATCGTCGTACGATCTACCTACATCTTTTTCACCTTTTTAGGTTCGTTCCCTGATGTTATAGACATCTGTGGTGCCACCAGTTTATCATATCGACAGCTTACGCAAAACTCATTTCTCGGCTGGCACTAATTAGCCTTTGTCTAGGCTTACTTATATTTTCTTCAGGCTTTTTTAGTTAGGTATCTCGACTTCCCGAAACAGTGTTGCTATTGCGGTCATTTAGAGTATGAGAATTCTGAGAATTCTGCTCAATCTATTAACCATGTTTAGCGATCACTTCAGTAATTTGAAGGACGCTAGGACCAATTTCCTAGGATCACAGTTAGACACATTTGCTTAATATGTATAAGCTCTCCACACTTGACTTACTGATGCTTTATGTCCTTTTTAGCGCTCAAACCTTGGCGTTAGCGCAAATGAGAGAGAAGGCTCCGCTACGCCCCCTCCACCTCTGCGGACTTCAAGTGCAGCCATCCTGCGGTATGCTTTCTTATCATTACTGCTCCGTTAGGTCCCAGGAACAGTTGGCGCGGAAGCTTGCCAAACCACTACCTCCTACTCCCGTTGAAGAAAAGAAAAGAGAAAGAAAGACCAAGCGTACGATTATGATAACTGCTGTTACTCGTTTTCAGTCAAGGCGACCAAGTCGAAATCGAATATGATGCCTGATATTACGCCACCTTCCAATGTAGTTCGTCAACTTCATATTACTATCGATCCCAACACAGGAAAGTTTCAGGTAGACTAATTCTGTTTTTACTGGTTGAATTTAGGGCATTCCTCCTGACTGGGGCCAGTTCATCCACATGCTGGGGATAACGAAGAGCGAACAGCAACAAAATGAGCCGGTGTTACTTAGTATATTCGAAATGCTGACCAAACAAAATGCTACCCGAGAGAAATACATGCTAGCTTGCAGTGAAGGTAAGTGTCCGATATATATATATATATATATATATATATATATATATATATATATATATACTTCAGGCGTTTGTTGGTGTCTGCTTCAGCGGGTAGTGATTGTCTTCAGTTTTAGACTTTGGCGTTGATATTCGTATCTACTTATTTTAAAAAGACCCTCATTCGTCAAACTTGTTAGTGTGACGGGCTTGTAGTTCTATCATCCCGACTCGTGCTCCATTTGCATACCACCTTAAGATGCACCTTCTACGCAGTTGTTTTTACCACACACCAATTATACGGATAGCTGCCAGATTTTTAGACTCATAAACCGCAAGTTGAACTCGTTTTCATCTTGAAACTGATCTGAGACGGGAATTTGCTTACATTTCTAACAGATTGAGCATGTATTGCTCACCTTTGGTCCAATGAACCCTTCGAACATGGTTGTTGCATCGAGGCCAGTTTATAGACCTTCGTTATTTTTTCAGAGTTAGCACCGTTGATATATGTTACTCCGAACTGCATCTTCGGAGTCCTAGCTTCGTATCTACTACCTCAGAATTGGATTTTTTTAAATCTGTAATTGTCATCTGGGAATTCAATCCTTTTCCACGGTAGATAAGCTCAATCAGAAATTGTTCCATCTCTCACATAACCATGATAGTGCTGTTACTATCCTCAGCCTAACCACAAAAGGCCATCTTCACGATGAGATTGGACATTCATTTGGAGCAATGGTTTGCGTATATCCGAGACCCATTGAGATAGGTTTTTTGCACCGCACATACTTTCTTCAGGGCCATGCATACTAGTTAATGACTTGGTCTCCAGATCTCCCTCTTCAAGCGTCGACGTTCTTATTTCCCTGAAACAGCTTACAAGACTACATTTAAGGCTTAGTAGGATTGTTATGCATCACTGTTTATGTTGGGCTTCGTACTCACCCCTTGCCTCCATTTTTCTATTATTACAATCTGTGCAAGGGCCATCAACCCATCTGGTCCCACGATTTGTCTTTCAGTTTCCAATTAATATTTTTCCTTCTAGGTTTTCAATTTAGTGACTATTCCCCAACGGGACAGCGAAATGTACCCGGTGACTCAAACTCCATAACCAATACGGGCTTTTTAACAGCACATCTTAAAGCATCTACACCAGAACGCGAATGCATTCCACACTTCACTCATGCTTCCGGCACTGTTGGTGTCCGCAGTAGTAGCCTTAGCAGTGGACGAGGCAGCAGCGATGGAGTGAGGAGTCACAGCGGTAGCGGCAGTGCCGGTGCCGCTAGCCGTAGCAGCAGCAGTGGCCATGGAGGTGCCGGTTTTCCGACTGCAACCGTCATTTTAACCAATAACTTTCGCCGTTCGGCTGCCGCACCAAACACACTACTCTCTGCTGTCACGCACTATGGCAACTCTACCACCAGCTCTGACCCTAACTATTTTACCAATGTGGTTGGCACCGGTGATGCTTATCAAGTGCCATCGAAGTGCCCAACTACTTGCACTATTGAGACTCATACTGCGCAACTTCATCAGCCCCGTGATTCCCACTCGAATATTCCCCGAAACCTGGCTCTTCCCGCCGAATATTCTGCAGGGAAGCCAGCATTTTATACCCTGCCTGCCTACACTGTCGCGCACCTCCCACGCCACCCAACTTCATCTACGCAGATGGCCTCATATTACCAAACCTCTACATCTTCGGCGAATTCAGGTCACCATCTGTATCAAAATGTCCAAACCCATCCTTGCATACCAATCAGCTCGTTGTCAGAAGCGGTATGTACACTTCCTGTCTAGCCCGTACTTCACCTCGGTCTGTTTTTTGGTTTGAAACAACACCCAGTAACTCACGCTGATCCTCGCGTTTTCCACAGATAACTTACTTGCTCCACCGATGAGGTTCCAATAGACACTGAATTTTTGGAGACTACAGCTTTGTTGTTCTTGTCTCAACTTTTAGCATTTCGCCCGCTTTATATAGAGCATTCGGCATCGATTTCAACGCCTTGCTTCAAACACTTAGAGTTAATCCAGCCCTGTATCCCTCCTTTTTGAGATCTCGATACATCCGCCCACCTCGTTTATGCTCATTCTTGTGTCCATTATCTCACCATCATATTGCCTGACCTTCCGATTGACATGTTACTTTTACACGATACTTTGTTTCCCTTAGGATAGCTGCTTAGCAGTTGCTTCACCTTGCGAAGGATATAGCTTCGTTTCGCGCTGCTGTGACACACGTTAGGTTTGCCAATTGCAGCTTTACCCGCAAGATTAGTTCATGGCGCTAGAATGGTATTCGTTCTTAGAACATAGTCGAACTCGATCCGGGACTAAAACATCGGGGATTTTCTCACATCCACCTACACCGTTGGGAGACGCATTTTGGAACCCTTCAGGTGATCTCCGGGATTCGCACCAAGCCCTGTTGATTTCTTTCATTGTGACTAGGGACGCACTGTTTTACTCCAGTGCAGTTCGGTACCTTGGTTCGCTGGATCAAAACTGCTTACTACCTGCTTATGTGGTTATATTGAATCCGTTGCCCTTATGCAAATCAGTATTTATCGTGGGTCTTCGAGCCACTGCGCACTGCGGTGACATCAAGCATGCAGCAACACGTATCTTTCATCACAGTCCGTTGTTTCATCTTTACTCGCTGAGCAAAATAGTGGATCGACAAAGGGTGCTTTAATCATGCACTGTGGAAGCGTTTCTTAGGCGATATTCCTCTGTATGCCCTAATGCAGCACACTCTTTTTGTTCGGCTGAAGTGACAATCCCTTTCAACACTGTCTGATTGTTACTGTGTTTGTTTTTTGTATCGCACTAAAGTCCATACACTCATTTTTCTGTTAGGCTAGAGTTTACGGGTCACTTTCCAGCGTCCTTTTCACAATAAGCACTCTTCATGGGGGCATAAAGCGCATTGCCGACTTGACTTGACTTCAGTCCTCCTTCCTGCCATCGTTCCCCACATCTCCCTGATCGCAGCCTCCTAGGTGCTAACTTTGCCATAGTTTATATTGCAAACGAAGAAGTGTTAGTTAACAAAGCGACAGTTTCACCGCCCGACATCCACTAGTTCAAACCAACTGAAGTGTTGGGATGCTTTTACGTGTCATCCCGTTTTTGTGTGTGAGGGAGCATTGTAGACAGCGCGGTTCATCGCATGTTCACCAAATTGAGTGCCTATGCAGCCCCTGCATTCCGGACGGATATTAAAAAATCAGATGCAATTTTTTGCTTCTAATGCTCGATTTTTGACTGATCCTTCTCTTGAACCGCTCTCGATAGGATGCTTCACAGTCTCCAGCTCATACACATGTCTTACCGATAATTAACTCTAATGACCGGGGGTTGTTTCAACGTTTTTCTGACAGCGGTAATTTATGTCTGTCTGTATTTTTCTGACCACAGTCTTTCTACGAATGTATTGCTTTCAATACATGAGATAACTCGGTACTTGGCTTCAATTCTTCTGATGCCAACCACACACCTTAGCTATCCCTCTAACCAACGGATCGTTAATCTCTTGTTCTGACTTGGTTGAGAGATTTGGCTTGTAGCGCCGCTTCGCGTTCATGAATTCAAAAATGAAAATCTTTTTTTAGCTCATTTTGCTTCTGCTGCCGTGTTTGCTTCAGCGAGCACATCCGTATTACCGTCCATTTTCTAGGATTTTTTTAATTGACTTACCTATTCAGATGGAACCTAAATTGCTACAGTTTACTCGGCTTTGAATTGACTTTTAGTCCTTGAGTATAGCTCCTACCTAACCACACCCTGGCCATACACTCACTGTGATGCTACGAACTATTCATCTCCCTATTGCTGCTCTATTTCATGGTGTATCTTCTTGGTATTCTTCGTCACCACAGTTTTTGTCTTACACTTGAGCCCACATGATCATCCACTTTGCACTCTTCCAATGGACTCCATTCACGTGCTGGCTTGAGCGTCGTTGACTCATCAACATAACCGGTTCTACATCCCTGGTCCAAACTGAAAGTCTGACACTAGCCTCGCCCATGCTCATTTCCCCTTGCCACAATTCATTCTTTCACCAGTGTGACCTAGTAGGAAACAGAGTTAATAGTGTTAGATGTGCCCTCCGTCATAAGTAGTGCTAAGTGGTAGGGGAATACGATGCAATGTGGACTACTTTTTATGTGCCTGTTTTTATTTGCCGATGTCGTCGACTTCTGCCGCTTTCTATTCATCTATCCTTCGTTTTCATTATCTTCCAGGACTCGTCTCTACCGCCTCGCTCAGCACCTGATCCCGATTTTACTGTAGGCTATGAATCTCACCATATGGTCAAAGTTTCCCCCTCGGTTTGCAATGACCAAAAGCAGCGAGAACAATGTGACCCCACATCTTACACTAATGACCTACCGGTCCACAAACCACCATGGCATGGAACTCATCACGAGCAGCATCCACTGTCACCTGGTCTTCCGAGACGGTTTGTTGACGGCGTCATCCCTCCCGGTAGCTTGGGCCACATTCAGTACTCTTCCGGTCAATCGTCACCATCACCCGCTGGTTCTGCCACTCCTGTCCCTACACCCCGCAGAGAATCCTTAAAACTGAACGTTCTACCAACTCGAGCTGGTCCAGCTCCTTTAACCACTCACAACCTGGGCCTCATTTCCGATCAGACTAATTTGACGAACTTGGACCGGGATCCCACACCCCCTCCCGTCGCTACTCGACCTGAAAAAACTAAGTCAATTGTAAGTTTGTTAGCAGCGTAATACCGTTATCCACTTTGTTCCGTTCATCCCTGTCTCAAGCATGTTGCAGAGACTGGATCTTAACATGATGCAACCGTTTGCATACTACTTAGATCCATTGCACTATACTGGATGGTGCCCCTTGAGACCTACCCCGTCAGGTTGGTCAATGGTTAGAGGTCAGACGAACTCAGTCTCCTGGTCCTCCATGTTGGGAATTGGAAATAGGACAGCGTCCGTTTCTGTATACCGGATTGTTGCCATCCACTCGCTGCTTTGCAGACAGGCTTCGATTGAGAACTCTTATCATTCTTCCGTCTAGGTTTGGGGGCTCTGGTAGTATCTCAGCCCACCTACAACTATGACCACTTCCTCGGACTTCATCCACATCTTGCATCGGCCGTCGTACAGGTTTACAAGGGTCACCCAATCTGCTGCATACAGCAGAGTGGATAAGCGACCACATGCTATTTCTAGCGCCTCCTTTGATTCTTTTCCACCTGTTTCGTCTACTCCCCTCTTTCCATACCTTCATTACTAACTTTGCTTCTATAATTCCCAGCCTAATTGACAGCAGCTTTGATGCCACTGGAGTTACACCATCTGCCCCTCACTGCCTTATGGGTCAGATTCTTGAATCAGGCTCGAGGGAGAGCACTTCGAACAAACTCCCTCTTTCGGAATGAGCAGCCACAGAGCATCATCCGTCCTCTCGATCACGTCGACAATAATCTCTTTTTTTGGCTTTTCCTTCTCCTTTCCCCTGTCGCAGCTGCTGCCATCGATACATGTAGCTCTTCCAACAAAGTTAGTTTCATTTCCCATTGCTTTCTTTAACCTCCGCACTCTAGGTCAGATCGGCTAGTAGGCAGCACCGACTCTCACTCTTCACTCTCTTGGTATTGATATGTGCTGTCACCGAAACACGCATACAAGATAACAACGTCATGACGAATTTTCGACTCCCTGGTTCTGAATCTGACGACGATTTCTACACTCTTCGCGTCTCTGCTGATACCGGGTCAATGGTTCAAGATATTTACGGTGTTGGTATTGTCCTCAGCGAACACGCTAAAGGCAATCTGCTCGACTGGATACCGGTGAGCAGCCGCATGTGCGCTGTTCGACTTCGAACCTTCCTTGTAGTTAATGAGCAGCGTCTGAAGCCAAGGTGCCTTCACATCACCTCAGTTTATGCTCCTAATGTACGCAGTACAGAGGGTATCAAAGACTATTTCTATCGCCAGCTCTCATCTTTTCTTCGCATGGCGAAGAATACTGACATGGTGAATGTTGCTGGTTACATGAATGCCCAAGTAGGCCGTCTTCCGGACTTTGAACAAAAGCTGGGCGGCCGCTTTCGAGTCGATGCACGCCGAACAGACAATGCTGATCGAATACTGCAACTGGGCGCCGGTCACAACCTCTGCCTCAGCAGAAAGCATTCCAGCACTGCATCCCACCACAAACGTTCACACTGCGTCACCTGGTGCCTACCGAATTCCTCAGTGATCTGGACCCAAATTGACCACATTGCCATCAGCTACAGAGGGCGCACATCAATGCAAGACTGTCGGTCAATTTGGAGCACTTGCCTGGATTCCAACCTTGCTCTAATGCGCACATGCCTGACGCCCACTCCTCCCGTTTCAAAGAAGCGGCAAACTTCTAGCCCTTTTACCTGCAACTTGAACTCGCGATCTGCAATCCAACAATATCACGATGAACTGACCCAGCAATTGTCAATGCTGAATAGGGTTGGTGAACGGAACACTGATGGGTATCGTCTCAAATATGCCATGAAGTATGCCATTGACGCTTGCCGTTCACCCAACTTGAGACATCGTAATTACGTATGGATGTCTGAGGCATCGTTCCGTTTGATCGAAGCACGGAACCAACTTTCAATGGGAACTGAGTTTCAGCATATTCGTAACTCACTGAAACTACTCATTGCGAAGAGTCTACGAATCGACCGACAACGTTGTTGGATGGCAATGGCCTGTGAGATGGAGAAGCCAGTGTTATTGGGTACAGTCAAGTGCTATTCTAGTTCATCATGAATACGGGTCCGAGAAAGCCATCAGTTAGCGAGACAATAGCTGAGAAAGACGAGCCGTTGATCCATTCTCAGCGTCGTCGACTAGCCTGTTGGGTGGAACACTTTGCAGAGCAGTTCAGCAGGCCTGCTGCGACATTGCAGCTTGCCGATTTGCCTGAGCCGTCGTGGGTAGCAGATGTCACACGCCCTAGCTTGGAAGAGATTCGACAAGAGTTTTCCGTATTGAAACGAAACAAGGCTCCCGGACCCGACGACCTTTCTCCGACTTTGCTGAAAGACGGTGTTGACCCTTTTTGATCAGACTCGATACTCCATTTAGCTCGATTTTGAACAGTTAATTGGTACCTTCAGGCTGGCGATTGTCAGCTGTTTTCAAGAATAGTTCAGCGTGTTATGTGCGAAAATCGTCGGGGCATCGGCATTGTGTCCATTCCATCCAAACTCCTCGCTAGTATCATTGTCCTTCGACTTACTGGTCCACGTGCGAACCGATTTACGGAAATCCGGCTGTCTTCCGCCCTATTCGTGGTTGTATCGACCACATTTTTACTCTTCACCATGTGTTGGGCAGAGACACATACAGACGACCGCCTGGTCAATTCCCTTGACCTGAAACCTGCCTTCGAGTGTGTTGAACGCGCCAGACTGTGGCTCTGCCTATCCATGAGGAGCGTGCCGGCTAAATTGCTTACCATTCTTAAGTCTTTGCCGTGATTCTCTAGGTCGTGTGAGGGTTTATGGGGAACTGTTTCCTGAGTTCTCCACGACAAGTGGAGTTCGCCAGGATTGTCCGATATCGAAATGGTCATAAGTGACTGTTTTCCAGACTCTACCGGAGTGTATGTTCTGCCAAATGACCGACTGACAAACCTGGAGTATGCGTACCACATAGCTCTTCTTGGGTCCGACGCATTGGCTATGCGAACACTACTGTATAGACTGATGCATAGCGCCGCAGGCTTCGGCACGTGCTTTGCATCTTCAAAGTTCAGTATTGTTGCAACACTGGACCGGCACACCTCCGATTCTAGCTATCACCGAACAACCACTGGAAGTGGTTGATCGGTTTACTTACATTAGTAGCTGTGTCAACGGTGGTCACATCACTGAGTAAATTACTTCGCGTATCAGGTCCGTGTGGCTTTCCAGAAGTTCAACCATCTATGGAGACGGTGCGATATCAACATGTCAGTGAAAGCTAGAGTGTATAACACTGCGGTAAGGCCAGGTTGCTGTGTGGATCAGAGACCTGGCCAGGTCGCAGCGAAGACATTAAGCGCTTGGCCGTGTTTAACCACCGGTGCTTGCGGAGTATTGCTCACGTCTGGTGGGACCACTGGGTGGATAATGCTGAGGTCCGCCAGTTGGTTTTTGGCAAGAAACCTTCTGGTGCCTCACTTGAGTGCTTGCTGAATCTTAATCGCTTACGTTGGCTAGGCCATGTTCACCGTATGCCCGCTGACCGGCTTCTTCGGTGTGCATTTTACGCCGTGTCTGCACCAGGTTGGGTGAAACCGTGAGATGGCCAATCCTTGATGTGTCTTCGTGGGATGAAGAAATTGACTATGCGACTTGGTCAGGCTAGTGCATGCTGTCTTCGTAGATTTGGTCCTTAAATCTTCCATATTAATGGTTGGAGACCGTATCAGACATGGCGCATTGATGCAATCTGTGGCGTTCCTGCTTACGCTTTCTTACATCTGGTTGTTAATTTTCGTTCAGTTCTGATTAGTTTAACGTACTTGCTTCTTACATGCATTTTGTTTTCATTCTATTTGCTTTTAGCGCTGTAAACGATAAATCGTTATTCCGGTGATGTGCATCGTGGCAACTGGATCCACTGCATTTCGGTGCTCGGATCATAGTTGATCAGCTGAACTGTATTGATCGAAACTACACCATCTACAGCTATCTTTTCGCACCACCCTGTGGAGGCCTATCGACAACGGCCCCTTATAAGGTTTCACTGTCCCGTTTTCCTTGGAGTGTTTAGCTACTCGGAGCGAACTAACCCGAAGGTTGCGGGCTGACAAGGAAGCCTGGTGGACAAGTAGGGCTTAGGAAATGAAAGAGACGAGAGCAGTGGCTAATTATCTCAATCTCTTCGAGCTGGTTCGTACCACTGATTCTGGGAAACTAGACGTCAGTCAGACAATCAGAGACAGCACGCGTGCCCTGATTCACAGTGAGGAGCACCGTACGGCTTGTTGAGCTTAGCAATTTCAAGATCATTTCCGCTGCCCCCCCCCTGCCGCTGGGTCTCTTACTACTCATGTGGTGCAGGATGAGCTATGACCAGTTAGTTTAGCAGCTCCGTCGGAGGCTGGGGTCCGAAATGCGATCGCAGCCTCTAATCATTTTGAGCTGCTGTCCTGGATTCCTTCACACGGGCATTATTTATCACAAGAAGGATCGCTCCTCTGTCCTACCTGGAACTCCCAGACCGGTCAGAATGACCGCACTACTATTTTCGTTTATTTAAACGGTTATTTTTGAATTATATGTATTAAGAACAAAGTGTAAAAGCATTTGTAACCGCAGCACAACTGTATTTAACTTTAAATGTTTCAAAATGTTGGACAATTATACTCGTTATTCAGCTTTACGCTTGAAACAAGCGATACCTCTCACAATTTGTCCGCATGAGCCATTAACTATTTTTTCACATACAGAGCACGTGTTCTTTGAGTTATTGCCTCTAAAGTAGTCAGTCTGCTACTCCCGACGTTTACTCGTTTCACGACTCCGACTGGGCTGAGGTGTTCGTTTCTTGTTTCATGCATAGGTCCACACTGTTCTCCCGCTAGACCCATCATATTCGACCGGCAGGATAGTTTATCCGGCCACACGATTATAAATTATCCAGGAATTAATATCTACCAAATCCAGCACGTTGTAGAATACATGGATTGGCCATTGTCGAGATGGTGATTTGACA